GCTTTCATCAGTACGTCACAACGTGGGCTGCAGAATAAAGCTTTCAGTAGTTAAAATTCCGAATTCAATGGAAACATTCTTTGAAAAATGCATAACATATTCCAAAATGTTTTGCAACATTTGAACTTCTTAGCTTATCGTTAAAATTTGATTAGTTGGACACTTTCCAAAATTTCAATTATATAAATAATTACAAGGATTTCTTATAAAAAGCTAATCTTTAAAGGTTATTTTATTTTCTTACTTTGTAGAAATTTATATGAAAACATCTACAGTGTCTCACAAAAGTGATGGGAGGGACACCTGTGCTTTACAAAAGGAAACTGTAGTAAAATAAATTAAAAAAAAACATGTAAAATTTTTTGTGGGTGGTTTTCATACTTAAATTTAGTAACAATTATTACATAACATACATTTTCAAAATATTAAAATAGTAATTTAATAAAAATACAATTGTTTAGAACGGAGCAAAAAATGGCTCACATAGTGATGGGACACTTACTTTTCCATCAAATATTTATCCAAAAATTTTACTTTTTAAAAGGTTTCAATATTTTGTTGGATTTCCTTTTACTTTTAAAACATGATTTAATCTTCTTGGGATGGATTCGACTAAATTTTTTTTATGATTTCTGGAGTGATTTTACCCCATTCTTCTTGAAGCACCGATTTTAATTGTTGTTTTGAAGAAATGGTGTGTTTGCGAATTCTTGATTCCAATTCTTGCCAAATATTCTCTATGAGGATTTAAGTCTGGAGATTGTGGTGGTGTTTTTATTATTTTCAGGACAGTTATACAGCAGCCAGAGAGTCTAACGTTCAAAGCAGTGTGCTTGGGGTCATTGTCCTGGTAGAATTTAAAATCGTTATGAAGGATCAATTTTCGTGCTGAAGATTTCAAATTTTGATTTAAAATGTCAATATACTTGTACTGATCCATTATACTGTCAATAAAAACAAGATTACCAACTCCAGCGGACGACATACACCCCCATACCATAACTCCTCCTCCACCATGTTTTACTGTTGGCACCAAGTTCTGTTTGCGAAATTCTTCCCTGGGTTTTCTCCACACCAAGATTCTACCGTCAGAACCAAATATATTAAATTTACTCTCATCAGCAAATATAACTTCATTCCAGTAATCAGAATTCTTATTTATGTTGGATTTTGCGAAAGCCAGTCTGAGTTTTCTATTCTTTTCACTTACGAAGAATTTTTTCCTGGCTGCTCTACCGTGATATCCAGTAGATCGAATTACTCTTCTAATAGTCTCAGGATTAACAATTACTCCATATAATGCTTGTAAATCAGCAGCAACTTTAGGAGCACTCCTTCTTGGATTTTTTTAAATATTTCGAACGATAATTCGCTTTACTCCATTGGATAGTTTTGATGGTCGGCCAGGTCTTCTTTTATCCTGAATCATATGATTCTTTTTATATCGTTTAATGATATTGCAAACTGTTGAATGACTCAAGTGAACTGTTTCAGCAGTTTTTATAATAGATTTTCCCCGTTCAATATGCAAATTAATATTTTCGAATTTTATTAAATTAATTAAAATTTTCGAATTTCGAGCAAAGTTTTTTTTCGTTTAGCATTCATGGCTACACAGAGCTAAAAAACAGAAAAATTTCAAAACAAACTGGAGCGAAATACTGCAGACGATTTTATAAATTATTGCCAATTGCTTTTGAGTAAAAATAAAAAACCCCCAAAATATTTTTATTGTAGTACGTAGTAGTATCTAATGGTGTTCCATCACTTATGTGAGCCATTTTTTGCTCCGTTCTAAACAATTGTATTTTTATTAAATTAATATTTTAATATTATGAGAAAATGTATGTTATGTAATAATTGTTATTAAATTTAAGTATGAAACACTTCCACAAAAAATGTTTACATGTTCTTTTAACTTATTTTATTACCTTTTCCTTTTTGTTAAGCACAAGTGTCCCATCACTTTTGTGAGACACTGTATATGCCGATAAATGAAAGCTTGTGCCAACGCTCGATGAGGCATGGGTATATTTAGTGACTATAATAAAAATAGATAGTGCTAAGAAAAAGTTAATTTTTACGGAAAATTAGAACTAAAGCTATAACAAAGAATCAAAGTTACCATATAGAAGGAAATCGCAGCAAGAAATACTCCATTTATGCATAAAAATTAACTATTAAAACCATTTCCATAAAGAGCGACTTTCTATTCTAATTTAAAAGGCAAAGACACACTAGAATTCACGTTGAAGAAATCGTGAATCTTTCACAAGAGATGGTTTATGTAAGTTTAAGATCTTATACAGAGCTCTGCGTTTAAATCTCGCTTTCTCTTTTAGAATTATATAAAATTATAGCTATTTTACATGTTATTCTTAAATATTATTATTTACTTGGAATGTTTGATAATTAAAGTTATTTATTTTCTATTCTGCAATTATTGGTAAGGTTATTCATTACAAATATTGGTAAGTTTATTTATTAATATTATTGGTAAGTTTTATTTTCCATTCTACAATTCATTCTAAATGCAAAAAAGTGCGTTACACAGAAATTCTTAATTTAAAAATCTAATATTTTTTATGAAAGATACGCTTCACTTTAAAAATGGCTGCTAAATTACGGAACGTCAGGGTTAAAAGAATACGCTGCAAGATCGTCTGCATGAACTCGTAATTATCCAACTACTATTTTTAAGCTGTGTTTATTTTGTTTAAAATCTACGTAATCGTTTTTTGATTTATAATTTCAGGTTCGAAACTTTAACACTTTTATTAAATAAAGGCTGATTAGTTGTTAGATAATAATTAGTCATTTTATGCTGAAATATCACAATACTACTTTCCCATAAAACTAAATCTTTAGAACGGGGAAAGAAACTTTTTTAAAATACTGAAGTACAACTCAACGTTTACTTCATTATTAACATATTTAGATAAAATAGTATATAATATAATAATTATGTATATTTTAATATCCATGATTTACAATAATAAATGCTTATTGCATTAAGAAGCATAACCTAACTATATGCTTTTTACTTGCACATTATATTAAAACCGCATTAAGATATGTTATATTAACTCTATAAAATGTACATTTATCTTTAATCATAACCTGCATTGTTAGTTTAAGAAGCAAAAAATATATTTTTTTACTTTTTACGGCGGTTCTTCTTAAGCTTACATTTTACCTTCAACTTCAGACTTCTCATTCCTGGATGTTTTCACAGAACTATTAAAAGCAACCCACCTAGAATCTGTTAGAATTTAATGTTATTTGATGTATGCTAAAAAAGTTATCATCAATTGATAGTGAACTAAAAGCTGCTGCGGAGACAATTTACTCCAGGTTTGAATCCTGGCTCATGTTGGAATTACTGGTAATGAATGGTCTGATAAACTAGCTAAAAAAGAAACTAAAATTTTGCAGTCAAATAATAGTGGGGTACCATTTACACAAATAAAACGAATAGTAAAAAAATATCCTAAGAAAACATTTTGAAGCTAAATTACTTGACTGAAGTAAAACTTGACAGGATTAGATTTGTAATATCTCAAACTCTCCAAGATCTATCGCAGCTGCGGCTTTTCATTTGGAGACCGGACATGAATGTCTCGCTAAACAATTGCACAGCATTGGTGTATATGACTGTCCCTTGTGTATATCATTTACAAACTTGAAAACGAAACAATATGCTACATTCAATTAGAGTTCGTTGCTTAGAATACGAAATATGCTTAGAATTCCGAGCTTCGTCGAAAGTTCCATCACATTTTGTGTACTTATATTCATTGAATGACGTGATTTTTCTGAAGTATTTTTAAACAATAAAAATTTCTACATAACTTTTTCGTATCATTAAAGTCATTTATTCAAGCTACCACTTACAAACTGTATAAACGTTTTGCTATTGTGATTAAAAATCATTGTGAGTTTATCAGAAAATTTCATGATCTTACATGTACTCGTGTATTTCATGATCTTTCATGTACATACGACAAAGTTTAATAAAAATCTTTTGAATACTACTGAAGGCTTTCCTTTATGATGGTCTCACAAACTTTAAAATACAACAACGTGTTGCGTTAATGCGTTCAGACACAAAAGTTATTGAGTATCTGAATGTTAGAATATTTGTTTTATTAATTAAATGAAGTTTTTTTTCTTTTCACATAATAGAACTTTATAAAATTTATTTTTAATATTGTTAAGGTTCTGCATTCAAAGTATCAACTGGATTCCCTGAAGGAGTAGTATATTATACTCAGAATTTAAAACTGTAGTCTGTTGCAACGTTCTACATTATCTGTATTTGTATAAATTAAGTGAAGTCATTTTACTCACAGGTTTTCACACAACGGAAATCAAAAATATATTTGTTAATAATGAAACCATTCATTTAAGCTGTCACTTTCCTCTGAAAACGTAACAGCATATTGAGCTCAAAAATGAAAGTTCTTGCTTGTTGAAAAGTTCTACGATATTCTATGGGCTCATATTAATTCAATGGTATTTTCATACTACAATAATAAATAAAGTTATTTTAATAATTTTCGCGTCATATAATCAAGATATTATTTATAAACTGTGAAATCATGATAATACTGTGCAATAAAGTTGGAAACTTGACAATATTCTTCACTCAAGTATGGAAAGCTTTTTCTTAAGATTAGACATTATAGAAATTAATGAAAAAATATAATTCTCTTGTTGTTTCTTAATTATTCCGACCTTTTCATTCGAAATGTAATTCTGAAACTATAGTTTCGTACTCAGAATTTAAATTTGTTATGTTCTGTCATACTATCTAGATAACACAAATTAATAACATTTTATTTTAATATTACAGAAAACACTACTTAAACTGTCATTTGAAAGTTCTGAGAAGATAAAAATGTGTCGCGTTTAGTATTAAAAGTTATTGTTTGTTTGTTAAAAAGTTCTACAGTATTCTGTGTGTTGGTATTAATTAAGTAAAATGCTTTTATTTACAGTTTTTCAAGTAAAATATCAGTAAAGATGCTTTTATTACTGCTGAAGTCTTGACTAAGCTATCATTTGCAGTTCTTGAAAACATAACTCTACGTTGCATTCAGGATGCTTGCTTGCTGGAAGATTCTGCTATATTCTGTGAATTGGTATTAATTAAATAAAATCTATTTTTTACAGATTTTCATGTAACAAAAATTAATAACTATTTCATAATATCTTTAAAAAATTCAATTAAGATATCATTTAAAACTATGAAAACTTAATGTGTGCTCATGATTAAAAGTTGTTCTTTGTTTGTAAGAGCTATGATTCTCTGAGCTTTCGTATGTATTAAATGAAGTGCTGCCTGTAACAAATTTCAGCATAATATAAATTAATAAAGAGTTTTTAATACTTTTGTGTCTTTGATTCAAGATATTTATGAAACTTAGAAAAGTATAAAGATGATGCTCGTTAGCTAAAATCTAAACAATCTCTTGAGAAAATGTATGATACTATTGTTGATAACGTGTTCATTGAATAAGGGGTTTACAGAAGTTTCAAATAACAAAAAATTAATAATTTTTTCGCAGTTGGAATCATTTATTCAAAATTCCACTTACCTTACTAAGAAAAGGAAAAGTTTATTCAGGCTTAAAAGTTGTTCCGTTGAAAGTTCGGTCTTCGATCATTTGTATGCACATAAAACAAAAATCGATCATTTATATACACATAAATGATCGAAGACTCGATTTCTCAAAATAATGCTGAAATTAATATGTGTTAAACCGAAACTATAAAATATGATTTCCTGCGAAGTAGGAACATTTAGAATAAAAAAACAGTGAAATTGACTCACTGTTTTTTTATTTTAAATGTTTTCTGAATAAAGTATTAAATTTAAAAACTAATATTCTCTCTCTTGAGTGGAAAACGAATATCATAAATAAGATCGGAATCTTTATCAAATCTCTCCTTCCACAAAAACGATGTCTTAAACGTTTTTTGATAATTTGTTACATTGCTATTAACTTTCAAAACCAAACTTCAATATTTTTGCCTTTATTTCTAATTTATTTTTCTCCACTCATACTGTATTAAATTGCTGCTTAAAGAAATATTTCCTTTCGAATTTGAGTTCCACTTCTTTTCAGATATGTTCCACAGAGTTTAAATCTGGGCACTGGGAAGATACTTTGGGTATTTCTGGAATATTAAAACAACAGCTTGTATCGTACATTCATAGCCCTAGGCTTGAAATACTGAGATAAAATATATGTACATTAAATGCAATATGCACAGCACCTGCGCTATGTAATGCTACCGCGACAGAATTTGGAATTATTTAACAAATTAAGTTTTTTTCCTGATTATTTTGAATTCCATTTTAAAATAATAACTTGTTACAATAAACTAAAAATTACGGTTTCAAAGAGGAATGCACATGTCTACATCATAATTCTTCTTCCAGTACTTCTTACTGTTAAAGCCAATGATAATTTCTAAACTATTGTTGCGTGCGTACGGGTTCGTTATGAAATGAATGCACAAGTCCGATGAAAAATGAACAAAAATTTATTATTATCACAACAAAAATGCTTAAATTTTCTCAAATTATCATGCAGTATTACAATATCTCACAGTAGTTATCTTTTAACTACTCAAATATCCAATAGAACGTAATTCAAAACAGCTAAAGAACGCTAATCTGCGAATTCGCTACAATCAACAAGAGCAGTTTTCTAAACAACAACAAACTAAGCAACTACTACAAACTGAGATGTTTTCCTCCTTTTATAAGATTTTAAAATCACGCGCTAGAATTTTCCAGCACTTTCTCGAAATCAAAAAGAGATATTTATTTATTTATTAACGCGCTCTTGTATTTTTAATTTTTCCGGCTTAGCTTTCTTTTAATATTCGTCACGCGCTGCACTGCGCGAGAAATAAAACCATTTAATTTATAATTGAACTAACATTAGCTTTTTAAATACCAAATTCGTAACACTGCCCCCTTCCCAAGGACTGCACGTCCCGGGCAGTACAATCCCTGGACAGGAAGCTAAACTTACAACTGTGGCATAAATGCAACTGAGGCATAAACATTACATTACAATATCAAACAATAAAAACAATAAATGCAATAACTAACTTAAACAAATCAAATGCTATCAAATACTAAATACAAGACAATACTAATACAAATCAAATACTAAATACAATCAAATACTAAATGCAAATCAAATACTAAATACAAATCAAATCAAATACACATTTATAAACAAAAAGGACCATGGTCTGATACTATTTACAATTATTTACATTACGTACTATGGCCATAGTAATGAGCTAACCTGTCGTAATGAACGACTTTAGATTTAGAGTTCGAAGACTTACGAATCCGAACCACGACGTCATTCAGCCTTTTTAGGACTGTATACGGGCCATCCCAAGGTGACTGTAATTTAGGACAAAGTCCTTTCCGTCGAGTCGGATTCCACAACCACACCTTGTCTCCTTCGTGGAACTGATGTTCAGTAGCTCTTGTGTCGTAGCGGGTCTTCATCTTCTCCGTCGCCAAGTTGACTCGCTCTCGTGCAAAAGTTGTGCATCACTTCAAACCGGCCTGGAGATCTTGAATATATTCTCAGACGATGAAGGAGCATCCGGAGGGCTGCCAAACAATAGATCACAAGGCAGACGAAGGTCACGACCGAAGAGCATCTGTGATGGAGAATAGCCGGTAGTCTCGTGGACAGCACTGCGATAAGCCAGTAAAAAGAGTGGTAATTTCTTGTCCCCAGTCCTGTTGGTTTCTGGAAACCACTAATGAGAGGTTATTAAGGATGGTTCGATGAACCTCTCTACCATGCCGTCCGACTGGGGATGCAATGGCGTCGTTTGAGTTTTGTCAATGCCGAGTAGTGTTGCATAGTTCTTTGATTACTGCCGAGGCAAATTCCTTCCCTGATCGGAATGTAACTGAAGAGGCACTCCGAACCTGGAAATCCAGTGCTGTATCATTACCTCAGTTACTGTGACAGCCTCTTGATCAGGAATAGGATAAGCTTCAGGCCACTTGGTGAAGTAATCAATGACAACGAGTATGTATTTGTTGCCATCAGCAGTTCGTGGCGAGGTCCCAGGATGTCAAAGGTGATACGTTCAAAAGGCGCCCTACGTTGTAACGTTGCAGCTTGCCTCGGCTGCGTCTCCTCGGTCCTTTCCGACTGCACAGGCATCGCAAGATCGGCACCACTTTTGCACGTCATCCTTTGCATTATTCCAGTAAAAGCGCTCACGAACTCTCTGCAAGGTCTTCATTATTCCAAAGTGACCTCCAGTAGGGGTGCTATGTATCTTTAAGGACATCAGGAATGCGGGATCTTGGAAGTATAAGTTGCCATCGGAACGTCTTCCCATCATCCGATTCGAATTTCCGGTATAAACGCCGTTTCGAATGTGAAGTGAATCCCAGAGTGCCCAAACGTTTGGTTGTAGACTACAGATAGAAATGTCCTGCCAGGTAGGTTTTCTGTTTGATGACTCCATTAAATCAATTATGGGTTTAATGTCGCGGTCTTCCAGCTGGTCTTTTCTGACTTCATCATCATCCACGTTCTCGTCAGCCGATGTTTGATGGTGTAATTTGCTTGCGACCGGATCCAGCAGCTCGTATTTCGCCTCCACCCTGGAACAATATCGGCAGCTTTCTTGGCAAGGTCTTCTAGACGGGCGTCGCGTTTCCGTGTGATGATCCCTTTACGATGCGGATAGTGATGTCATATTCTTGGAGTCTCTCTATCCACCTGGCTATTTGACCCTCAGGATTCTTGAAATTTAAAAAGCCAGGTCAATGAGCATGATCGGTGCGGAGCAGGAATTTTCTGCCGTATAGATAGTGATGGAACTGTTCTACAGCTTTGACTATGGCGAGCAACTCTTTCCTGGTGACACAATACTTCCTCTCCGGTTTAGACAGGCACTTGCTCCAGTATGCCACTACGTTCTTGGCCGTCTATTTCTTGGGACAAAACAGCACCAACACTTTCATTACTCGCGTCGGTGTCGAGAATAATGGTCGGTCAAGCTGAGGATACGTCAGGATTGGAGCAGATGTTAAAGCCTCCTTAAAGTTGTTAAATGCATCCTCGCATTCTTTTGTCCACGAACTTCTGGTTGCTCTCTGTCAGCTTGTGTAGGGGTCTTGCGATGGAAGAAAAGTCCTTCACAAATTTCCTATAGTAGTGCAAAGCCCTAGGAAGCTTCTCAGCTGATGGACATTTTCGGGACGTTTCCCCAGATTTAACGGCTGATACCTTTTCAGGATCCGTGCGCACACCTTCTGCAGAGATGACATGTCCCAGGTAAGTCACTCCTTTCGGAACAATTTGCATTTAGCGGAACTCAGCTTCAGATTGGCTTCTTTCAGTTTCTGAAGCACCTTCCTAAGATTTCTAAATGTTCTTCAAAACTCTTTCCGACGATGATGATGTCGTCCAGGTATATGAGGCAGGCTTCGTAGGAAAGGCCTTTCAAAACAGTTTCCATAAGACGTTCGAATGTTGCCGACGCATTACACAGTCCAACGGCATCACCTTGAATTGCCAAAGCCCTTGTCCCGTAGTAAATGCCGTCTTTCTCGGTCTTCAGCTGTATTCTACCTGCCAATACCCACTCTTTAAAATCAAGTGTTGAGAACCACTTGCTTCAGAAAGAGTGTCTAGAATGTCGTCAATTCTAGGAAGAGGGTAAACTGTCTTTCTTCGTCACCTCATTCAACCGGCGATAGTCGACGCAAAATCTTGTTGAGCCGTCTTCTTTCTGACTAGGACGATGGAGATGCCCATGGACTTACTGAAGGCTCGATGACATCGCTTTCTTCCATATCTTTTAACAGTGTTCGCACCTCTTCCTGTTTAGCAAACGGTAGATGTCTTGGATGTTGCTTGATCGGGGGATGATCGCCGGTATCTATTCTATGTTGTGTCAAACTAGTTCGACCCACGTCAGAAGACGAGCGGAAGAAAACAACTTGAAGATCTTTAATGACGCGATCGGCAGCATTCCTCTCTTTATCGTTTAATTGCGCATTCTGCAATAACTCCGATGTAATTCTCTCTGAGGACACGGATTCTTCGATGTTACTCTTTCTTTCAACGGTGGTAACTGGAGTACATCTGCAACCACTTCACCTTTCTTAATAATTCTCCCCTTCTCAGTTACATTGGCGACTCTCACCGGGAAAACGTTCTGGATAGGTCGACGAGTGTTGAGGCTACTAGTACTCCTTTTGGGCTATTACAGTTATTGGGATATTCTATGATGCCGTAGCGGAAATTTCTGTTTTCGGGTATGGATCCAGGAAGTAAAATTTCTGTTCTTGCCGGTATTGTGATATTGTCTTGTGCTATG